CTTATGACCCCTCCCACCTCCAGTGCTCATTCCTGCCCATGGCAGGGGGTGGGACTAGATGATCTGTCTAGGTCCCTTCCGACTCATTGATTCTATGATTCTATGCCCTCACTGGCGCTGGGGCTTCTACATGATATGGTAGTGTGCCCCAAAGAGGCCTCTTCTTCTGCTACAGCCTTAGCCTGGTCTACCACTTTAAATAACAGCAGGTAATAACTTAGTAAGTAGCACCAGCAGCATCTCAGGCAGCCAAACTGTGACAGAGCCTTTCTTTCCTTTCCTGCAGGAGCTTCTTCTCCAGCAGCTGCCAGAGAACTCTCCCTACCAGGCCCAGCTCTGGGGCTTAGATGTGCCCAGGGCCCTGCCTCCTTCTGGTCAGCTGACCGGGGACAGGTGCTAGGAGTCTAAGGACATGTCACTGGCAGACAAGATTCTTTGGGTCAATTTGGTATCTTTTACTAGACTAACCTTATCATCAGAAGCCAACTTCCTACAGTCCAAAACGCACCAAATGGATCCAAGCCATGCCATGACAAGACATGCAAAACCTGCCAACAGTACAATACATATCTCCATCAGGGCACTTGGTGCCCTGATGGAAAGTACGTAGGAGACATCAAGCAACAACTGCGCATCAGAATGAGCACACACAGAAAATCTATCAAAGACAAGAACACCACCTGTCTCCAATCTCTCAGGCCTGATCCTCAAAGGGAATTTACAAACCACTTTTTGCAGACAAGTCTATGCACTGCACTTCATCAACCTCCTACGTACAGAAACTAATGGACTCAATATAGCCATCTGGAGTGAGAGGGGGACTTCCCTTTGGGCATGCTCCCACTGGTGCTAGGCTGAGGAGGAGCAAGGGTAAGGGGGTTGTACTTGCGAAGACGCATCAGCATCCCAGTGGTGCTCATGTTTTGTTCCCTTGCCGTGGCTGGTTTTGTCTTGACAGTGCAGGCAGGGGCATTAAGATGGCTTCAAATGCCCACCTAAAGGCCTCTTTATATTACAGTTGGTGCATCTACATGAGATGCTTTACTGCACAGTAGATTAATTTACTGGGCAGTAAAGCATCACTGTTTACAAAGTGTAGGCAGTTACTGCACAGTAACAGTCTGTGTGGTTAGTTTACTACCTGCAATTAACCATGCAGTAGTTACTGTGCAGTAGCTGACTATATGTAGATGGTGAGCAGGAGCAAATCTGTTCCCAGTCAGCCCCACCACCACAGGGCCATGCTCAGGCTTGCCTCAAGGGCATGGGTTTTTCCAGCCCCACAGCTGGGATGGAGCTTTGCCTGCTCCAGGCTGGTCTTTAAACCCCTGGCATGCCTCTGGGGCCTGTGCCACCTGCAGCCTGCCTGTGACCATTGGGTCCCACAGCAGTGGCCTTGTGCCAGCCTCAGCAGGCTCATGGACTCCAGTGGTGGCCCCTGGGGCCAGCCCCACCACCCGGCTGCCTCCCACATCCTGTGCCCCTGTGCTGCAGGCACCTGCTGCACTTCAGTGGAAAGGGGCATTAAGATGGGTTCAAATGCCCACCTAAAGGCTTCTTTATAATACAGTGGGTGTCCAGGGAAACCTGAGAACCTGGCATGAGACCCTGAGCTTTGATGGCACCCTGGCAAGCCCATGCTTCCCTGCAATATATGCTGCCATTTGAAGGGGTACCTCTGCCTATGTTACAAGTCTCTGACCCCTGCAGCCAAAGAGGACTGCTATTGACGTGTTTCTCTGCATGCAACAGGGCCCTTGCTGCTTAGCTTGGAGGGCATTGGCTGCTCAATTAAGTTCTGCACTGCCTCCCGCCTCCCTGCCTGCTCTGGGGGGTGGACCCCAGGGGGCATGGAGGAGCTCGGCCAGGCAGCATGGGGAGGGTGGGGCAGGGAGGGGAGGGCCTCCATGTGGGGCCCCTCGCTCCAGGTGTGCAGTCCAGAGATGGTGCAGGCCTGAGTGGCCAGGTCTCTGCCTCACTCCCCCACCTCGG